AATAATTCCTTGACCAATTGCTCTTTCCTGACCCAACCCAAATCTTTCAAGTAACGAAAGGAAGTCTCGCTGGGTCTGCTGCTACTTCAAGACCCTCCCTGCTTCGGCTCTGGTGTTTGCAGCGCCACTGAATGCTATTAATGTGGAAAGACAGCTCCACAATTAAAGTCAGAGAACGCATCCAAGTCCAATAAGAACCTCTCAAGTCTCTGATCAGCTCTAAATGTGGATTCCAAGTAGGAGGAGATGGGATGCTTATTTATCTAAAAGCATCATTCCTACTTGGCTTTCAACAGTTTGTTCATCTCAGAATGAGGGGGGCTGGATTGACTTCTTCGGACTCAGCAATGCGTGTTGTCCTACTGTACAGCAAAAGGAACTATATTCAATATCCTGTAATAAACCATAGTGGAAAAGAATATGAAAAAATGCATATATGTATAACTGAATCATTTTGCTATACACCAGAAACTAACACAACACTGTAAATCAACTACACTGCAATTAAAAAAAGAAGTGTTTTAAAATGGACTTAACATCTAGAAGCCCTTCTGTAGCATATGTATTAAGGCTGAACGCCAATGGCAATCACTGAGATATTCTATGGGAGAGTGTGAGCCTCAGCTCCAGGCACAGAGTGGAGCCTAGACTTATAGGCTAAGGTTTTACATTCAGACAAGCCAGGGTTCACATCAAGCTCTACCCCTTAGCCAGCTACGTCATCTCAGACACAATACTTAACCTCTATGAGCCTCAGTTCCCCATAGGTAAAAGCTACCTCCATAAGGCTGTTTAAAATAATTACAGACCAGACCTTGTCCAGCACCTGGCTGGCTTATAGTAGGTAAATCTTTCCTTTTTTCTCTCCTGCTTCCCAATCTGGACAGCGTTTTTCAAACAGTTCCAATGCCACCTTCTCCCTGTAGCATGCCTTGATTACAGATTCCTGGATCACAGAATAAACTTTCCCAGAGTCTCAGGTCTTCACTGGCCAATATGGTTTTTTCTTCCATTTTCCCAGGAAGGAGAGGCTCTGGAAACAAGGCGGAATTGGGAAGAACAAGACGGAGCCAGAACCTGGGGTTCTGTACCCCATGCTTCTAGCCACCCCAGCCTGTGACCTTTGGAGAACTCTCTACCAGGGACACTTCATGGGCATGGGATCCCCGTAAAGGCACAGGGCCCTGCACTCAGAAGGGGCCATTACTTGGTTTCACGCTCTGCTGCCGCCATCTTGAATAATTTTTGAACAGGGGCCCCAAGTGTTCATTTTGCATTCAGCACCACCAATCATAAAGCCAGTGCTGCTTTCTTCCAACCTCGAAGACTCAGGATGCAGGTCACCTCTTCCGGGAAGACATCATCAGCTCCTCTCTGATGGGCTCCCGTAACCTCCCATAACCTCTGGTTCATACCTCCATTAACTCACCCACCAATATTTAATGAACCCCTGCTACGATACCACCAGCACTGCCTTTCTTGGGCACAGACCAAATCCCAGCACAGCGCTAAATTTTTCTCATGCAAGAGTTATATTTACGGCAACTCTCTAAGGTAGGCACTATTATTATCCCCAATTTACTGACAGATTAAGGGATCTGTCCCCACAGCAGGGGGGGAGGCAGAAGCGGGACTCTTGAATCCAGGCAGGGCACAACCTCAGAACCACTACTCTCCTCAACCACCAGGCACTGTGCTCAGAACCAGGAACGTGGTGGTCACGAAAGGGGATATTCCTTTTAAGGACCACAACACTCATGCCACTAAAGTATAACTACTAGTTACATTCTGTAATCATCCCCTTTACATGCCTGGATACCTTGCTGGACTATTAATTTCCCGAAGTCCCAGCCCCTCAAGTTTATCTCTGTAATACAGAAACCTCTCACAGACTTTGGAAAGTGATGGAGTTTCAAATATCCTTGAAGAATGAATAACATGTCATTTCTACATGTAGGCTAATTTTATTATCAATATTAAAATACTTCAAATACTTATTAAACTATGACAATTACATTAAAAACTAATCCATTGATGTGTTGTTTTAGACACACCTTGAATGATATAAGATGATCTAAACCACTGGAAGCAGCAATTAAAAAAAAAAAAAAAAAGATCATCCATTTTTTTCTCCCGATGGTGAATTTCTTATTTCCAGAGTTTTTAATTCACTTGTTTAAAATCAATTTTTTCCCTCCAAGTTCGAAACTTTTTCAATTCGATTAACATAATGCCTCTACAACTTTGGTAACATCCCAGGATCTGTGCCACTGGCATTCTTAAAATGACATAAATTCCTGCATTGTTGTGAATCTAATTTTGAGACCTCGAGCAAACACGAAGTGACGGACAAGCTACAAAGTAACTGGCCTAAAACTGGCCTGTCCTTTTCAAAAATGTCAATGTCATAAAGAAATCCGGAGAACTCCGCCAAGTTAGAGGAGATCAGGGAGAAAGGACAACTAAATGCAAAAGGCAAACCTGTCCTGGCTCCTGGACAAGAAAAAAAAAATCTTACAAACAAATGGCGAATTCTGAGTAAGAAGTATAGATGAGATTAACAGTAATGTAATGATAAATTTCCTGATTTTGTAATTATACTGTGCTATGTAAGGAGAACATCCTACTAGGAATTAAACGTTGATGTATTTACAGGTTAAAAGGGAATAGTGTATGCAACTTAATTCTCGAAGGGCTTAGACAGTGTGAGGGGAAAGGATGAAAAAGGCAAAAGCTTAACAACCGATGAATCTGGGTGAAGGCAAATAGGAGTTTTCCACGTGATTTCTGCAACTATTTTGCTAGTTAGAAGTTATCACCCACCCACCCCAAATATTTAACTATATTAGTACAAGTACTGCTGTTATTAAACAGGAAATGATGCAGAAGGCAGATAAGTATAATGGCTTATAATCTCATGATCAAGGACTTGATATTTTGGTTTCCAAACTTTTTTGAACTCCAAAAATAGTGTTGAAAAGTACATTTTAAGATGCCATGTGATAAAAAGAGAAAACAGTCCTGCGTGGATATACATATACGTATCTGTTTCCCTTTGCTTTTGAACTTACTAAATGAAGATCTTGGTGAAAAGCCTCACTCAAGAAAATATTATTAAATAATTGAATGGTAAGGTAAAAAAAAAAAAAAAAAAAAAAAAAAAAGGCTTCTTTCTCTTCCTCTCTCTGAAATCCTCCAGTTCGGGCTTCATACTTTGGCCCTTCCCCCCACAGCGTATCAAATAACTAACCTCCCCTCCTTCACTTTCCAAGCTGACAGTTTTCTTCAGTGCCTTTTGGGGGCTTTCAAAACAAATTGCAGAGCCAGGGTCTGGGTTAATATTCAGAACTCTGCTAGGTCTTCCCCTACTGTTGGATTGGCATGACAATGGAAACCACGGGCCACAGAAGGAGACCCACAAAGGAAGACAAGTTTTTAATGCTACAGCCATCTGCCAGTTCTCCTCAGGATCTTTTCAAGAACTGAGGGAAGCTAAAGCAGGGGCTGAGAAGGGGGTCGGGTCTGCAGGGGAGGGCAGAAAAATCACTCACAGGAAAAGCAATTGCAATATGAAAAGAACCAAAGAAGGTCTGGAGCCCGGATGGCTGAATGAATGGGATCCCAGGGCCCCTCCTCCTGAGCTCTAAATAGACCCACCGCACCCTCTCGATGGGGCTTTTGTCGGTTGCCAAGCATTTTAAATGTTATAGTCAGAATATGTTATTAAGGGAGGATTTAATATACACAAACCACAAAAAAACATACTCCAGAGGGGTCTTCTGATTACCCACATGGAAAGCCCAAGCCACCTGCCTTTGCAAAGATTACGCTGGGTTTTCTTTCTTTAGGGAGCAAAACGTCCTAAATACAGTAGTTTAGCAATAATAAAGCATTTCTATACCAACTCTAAATCCCCCCCTTCTCCCAGAGACTTGCAACTTTTTAAGACCACCAACTATGAAAATCTATTTCAATGCATTGGAACAAGATACTTTCATGCCCTCACAGGATTATACTTTTTTTAAAAATTCTGGAGCCTTAAATAAATTTCTCCAACATTTTTCCGAGAAGGAAAATTCTACTCAAACCCCTGAAACCATGGGCAGACTGCTTCCTCAGAAGACTAACGCACTTAACATAAAGCAGTTCACAACCTGGCTGGCTGCAAGCTCCCTTGGGCATCTATCTTATCTCTTTCAGAATTCTCAATTTCCTGAAGGCAAACCACAGTTTTTATTCCCCTCAGCCGCTCCTAAAACATTATTAATCCCTGAATGGGATCAGTAATCTTCGAGGAACTTTAGGTAACATTCTCTCAAGTCTGAATACAACCTTACAGGAAATCTAGGTAGAATTTGTAGGTGGAAACAGAAGTCGACATTGGCTGGGTTGTTTTGTGGGTTCTCAACGGTGTGTTTGAGCAGGTTTTTAAAATTCCACCATTTCAAAAATTCAAATGAAAGGTTACCTAGTAATTTCTCTTTGGGTCAGATTTAGTCACTCTTCACTCTTCCGTCTTGAGGATTTATAAGATGCCTTCAAAGAAACCTTCACAGATGCAGCTTTTATGATATTAAGTCTGGTGCCTTCTTAAAATCTCACATTGCGAAGTTGTACCATTAGTTTTGTAATGTTGAAAGAGTATCTTTTAAAGCTGCACTGCCTTGGAAACGCGTGTGGGAGGATGCCAAGCGCACAGAATTAAATTCCAGGTTGATGACGCACAAGTCAGATGACAGGACTGGCTCTGAGAGGGCAGTGGCAGCCCAGGGATGCGGCTGGAGTAACCCCAGGTCCTGGGGCAGACGCTGGCCTCCCTGGTGCCGGCAACGAGTGACTGCCCTGCCACGGGGCACCCACACACCCGCCGGCCCCGGGCCTTGAACTCTGCTCCCTGACTGTCAGCGGCCCATGACTGAGTTGCAACCCTGTGGGCCACCCCCCACACACACCGGGGGCCCTGCTGCAGGAAGTGGTCCCGCTGGGGCCAGGAGGCTGACCTCTCGCTGTGAGCCGGCTGTAGACCTGCGAGTTGACCTCCTTGTCTCGCACGTAGCATCGGATCTCCTCTGCCGCCTCTCGGATGATGGTGACGGCCAGCACGAAGCCCTGCACAGAGACAGAGGGAGGGTAAGCCCTGGTGGAAGCCACCTTCCTCTCCTGGGGCCACGGACAGAAAAAGCCAGAGGCCACTTGAGGGCAGCAGGGCAGGACCTGCTAATTATTCTAAGGGCAGAAGCCCCAGCAAGCCCACTTCTCTGAATCTCATGCACCGGAAAAACTCTCACTGACACACACGTGTACAGGGCCGTCCGCAGTCACCACCACCACAGGGTTCCTAAGAGTGAAAAACACAGAAACCCCAGAACCGTCCGTCCACAGGTGAGGCCTGAGTGATGGTGACCTCTGACGTCTGCATCTCACTCGCCATGTGCCGGGTGCCATTCGAAGTGCTTCCCACCCCTTAGTGCAGTTCGTGGCTGAGATCACCACACGCACTCGTGAAGACACTGAGACACACAGAGGTTGAATAAACTTGCTCCTACGTGATAATGCAGGGAATCTAGTTCCAGAGTCTTAACTGCCACAACGTTCTGCCTCTGGAGAAACCTGGGTAGGTAGGTGGAACCAGTAAGATGGCCCACCAGGAACCAAAGTGAAATGCATCCCTGTTTGTACTGACCTGTCAGTAGGGAAATTAACTTTCCGGAACATAACAATGTAACACTGTTCAAATAAACACCAACTCCTATACTGCTAAAGATTTTCCACTGTCCTCAACTATTGGTTAGATTCCTCTGCAAGGTAGGGGGCTAAGATGGAATGGGGGCTTCAGTCTTTCCTGTAATGTTTTAAACTTCAATAAAGAAAACATATTAAAGTATTAATTGCATTAAGTACACACTCATAAAAAGAAAATTTTCAACTGCCCTACCTTCCCAAGTCAGATACCCCAACTCATAAAAACCTGGTACAGAGGTTATATTCACAGGTATGTGAGTCACCCATATCTAGAATCTATTTTCATCTAGATTTTTCCTCTTGTATCAATAAAGGCAAGAACCGTCATTCACTTTTTCTTAGAAAATACACTTGTCACCCCTCCTTTTAAAGTCTTTTTTTTTTAATGCAGAGAACACAATCGCCCCAAGGTTAGCAGTAGTGAATTCTTTGAGGCTTTCATCTTCATACTGTTTATCCCATGCAATATATTAAGTTAGATTCAAAGGACTTCAAATCTCTTATGTAAATTTAGCCGGAGATGTGCTGCTCTGTGAAACTCCTCCAAAGGCCCGCACACATCTTTACAATCAAAGGATTACTCCTGTTTCCACTCAGATGTAAAGTACACGCTGAAGCCAAAGCAAAAGTGGTACATTTCAGAAAAAAAAAAAACGCATAACCAGACCACATACAGAGGTGAGAGAAAACCCATTCTGGAAAAGCACGGCCGGTTTGCAGAATCCCCACCCCCTCCCCCAGGCTGCTGTATTGTTCTGGGCCATAACCCACGTTTTTTGTTGTTTGTTTTTTCAAATGTTCCAGTTTCTATTTCTCTCTGCGTGGGCCTGGCTAAATCCCATTGATGTTAATGGAAAGTGTGTGCTCATTACAAAGACAGGAGGCGCTAACCTCCCTGCTACAAATAAATACCCGCTCCTAAGTCACCATATCTATGACCCCCGAACACACACACACACACACACACACACACACACACACACACACACACACAC